TTTGTAAAGTGTTTCAAACGTGTTAAAATACCAATCAGAAAAACTAAAAAATAAAAATTACAAATGTGGTTTATTTCTGGTAAATATATGCAAATCCGTTGTTAATTATTAACACGAAAAAAAAATCGTTGAATAGAAGCGTTAACAAGTTCCAAAGAGCCTTCGTTATTCGTTTGTTTTTTTAATTTTAGTTTTAAAAATTAAAGGATATGAAAAAAATTCAAACTAGTTTTCTTAATTTTTTATAATTTTTCAAATTAGTTGGTTGTTTTAATTTATAAATTTTTGTTTCCTAAAAACTTTCCTTTTTTATAAAAACCAAAAAGCATTCTAAAAATGTCTGTTTTCCATTTTATAAAAATTTTAATTTATACAATAAATTTTGTGAAAAAATTAATTTCCAAGCTTTTTGATTTTTTTTTTAATTTTCCGTAAAATTTTTTCTGTTAACAATGTTTGCTTCTTAAACAAGCTATTAAACTGGAAAGGTTTTTTCTATATTTTTTGTACTACAAAAATAATTACAAAGGAGTTAAATAAAAATGAGTCCAACAAAAAAAAAAATATAAATAAAAAAGAAAACTCGAATTAGGTAAACAATTTTTTAGGTCAATGGTAATTCTATGTTAAGCGGTAAAACGAAAAAAAATCGTTGAATGAAAAAGCTTTATAAACACTTGTTTATCATTAACTAAAATTTTTAGTTTTAAAAATTACCTCGAATAAAAAAAATTCCATTTCTAATATTTTACTTTCATATAGTATTAAAAATTAAATTAATCATGTATTTCAATTTCTAATTTTTTAAAAATTGTTTCCTTACTTTAAATTTCAAAGTTTTTGTTTCCTCAAAAAACCTTTAAATTTGAATTTTTTTCTACTTTTTTGTATTCTCTAAAAAGTTTTGCAAATGCGTGAAAATAAAAATTAGGCTAATCTAAAAAATTAAAAAATTAAAAAATAACTCAATTAGGTTAAAAAGTTTTTGGGCCGACAATAATTATTTGTTTATTCTTAAAACGAAAACAAATTTGCTTTAAATAAAATTTAAAATGTTTTCTAAAACGCCTTAAACCATTATCTAACAATTTTAGTTTTATAAATTAAATTAAAAAAGATGGAATTAAAAAACTTTTTTAAAATTCGTAAGACTTTTTCTAAAATTGTTCAATTAAAAATGAGACTATTCTAAAACAACCGAAAAATAAAAATTCCAATTAAGATTCAAAATTTGTTTTTGGTTTATACAATTCCCATCAACAGAACCCGCCCACTGTTCCGCATAAGAAAAATTTGCATAAATTTATCTAGCGCAAACTAGCATGCTACGTAAGTAAAAAGAAAAATAAGATGCAAAAATAAAGCAAAATTTGCAGACGTTGAAAAATGTAAATAAACTTTAATTGAAGAAATGGCAAACAAAAAATATGAAAAAA